GTGACAGGTACCGGGATGGATACAGGGCCTGCAACTATTTCCAGCTGGCGAGGCAGTCCCTGAACATCTTTGCGAGGCGGCCAAGATTATATTAAGTCGGTCTGCGGTGAGGCAGATGCGGGCTAGTCGCTAACGGCGCCGGAGCCCCATGCATACAAGCGCCCGCTGGCCCAACACGCGACGATCCACGGCTGCGTGCAAAGCAACGGGTGCATGAAGCTCAACACGCGTCTTTGATGAGGGCGCGGGAGGCTACTTGAGTGCCTGTGGTGTGTCGCTGGGTGCGCTGATAGCGACAATGCCGTGTGGGCGCGCCGTCAGTGGCAGCGCCGAGTTGGGGCGCGTGCGATTGGCGGAGTGCCGTGACCCCAAACCCGCTAGCGTTTCAGGCTTGGAGCCATGGCAAAAGGTGTCTCCGCGCTCGCGCTGGCCCTCAGCAGACGACGGGATCATCCTCTGTTTCGAGCCCGCGTCTTGTTTCTGCCCTCGTCGACCTCTCCGAGCCAGCATCCCGGGCGCCCGTGTACGCCGCAATAAAGAAGCCCGAAACCCCCATTCCACAAAGACAAGGCCGTCCGCCCGCAACCCACACCAACTCCACGCCGCCGGAGACCTGCATCTAACACCGCATCCTACATTCCGCAGCGCCCTCTGTTTACGACCTCTTCTATCCTGGCACGCGTAGCAACCATAATGCATATATGAGATAGCGTGAACAGACCGACCGACCGACGTACGACAACCGCCCTACCTCCTACCTAATTAGTCCACCACTGTTGAACATCAAACACCCGCACACATGGCCATGCTCGCCGCAAAGTCTCCGTATCCCGCGCCCTCCATGAGTGGGAGTGCCTCGCAGTCGTCCGCCCAATACAACGGCGGCCTCTCCGGCTACCGCAGCCATGCCTCAAATACACGGGCCGAGCAGTCCATGTTTGCTTCTCCCACCGAGTCAGAGTTCTCGGAGATATACGACGCTCCCGACGCCATCAGGTGAGGCTCACAGCTGCCAGCCACGTGTATACCACTAACATGGACAGACATTGGGACGAGGACAAAGTTGGTGACTGGCTGAAGCGCATCAACTGCGCCCAGTATGTCGACCTCTTCAAGCGTATGTCACCAAGCCCATCATGCTAGCGACCACTGACATCCCCAGACAACCACATCAACGGCGAGAACCTCATGGAGATGGACCAGACTCACCTCAAGGACATGGGCATCAAGAAGGTCGGCGACCGCGTCCGCATCGGCTCGCAAGCCAAGCAGCTGCGCAACAAGGAGTACAAGAAAGCCTCAAGACGCACATCAAATAGGCAATCGCTAGCCACGCTCGACAACGCCGCCTACACTCCGCCATCCTCTGGCTCTCCCCGCCCGCTCTACTCTGCACGATCGAACCCTCCCGTTCCCAACTCGAATCCCGTCAGCTCGCGTACCGAGAAGCGCATGTCGAGACAGATCATGAACTCCGACCTGAGCAGCTTCGCATACGGTGCCAAACCTCCCTCGCGTCCCGCGTCTCCTCTCGTCGACCAAGAAACCCGGAACCTTCGGTCACAACGGCAGGGAGGAATGAACAGCCCCAAGGAGCTTGGCAACAAGACATACGGCGCGCATCCCCTCAGTGCTTCCAGCAGCTCCGTCAACATCGCTTCCCAATTCTCGCGCAACCAACGCACTACACCCACCGAAACACCACAGACAGCCCGCTTCGCCCACCACGTTCGTGCGAGTCCTAGCGTGGACAGTGCCACCAACAGCGCCATCTTACCACACGACAAGGCGCTAGTCCGTGTTATCTACGATGGCGGACGCACCTCAGTCGTGAACATCGAAGGCTGCAAGACGGCCGAGGAGGTCATGCTGAAGACCCTGACCAAGGGCCACCTCAACACCGCCCATGTCAAGAACTACTGCTTCTACATTCTCAACAGCCCAGAGCCAGACCCATCGCTATCTGAACGCTTGAGTGACATCGAGCTCTTCAGACTCGTCAAGGATGCCAACAGACACGAAAGAGGACGGTTGATACTTCGCAAGGTCCACGCTGGCGAGCCCGATGAGGACCAACTGAAGGCCGCCGCTGGCATCTACGCGCAACAGAACTTCCAGCAGAGTTCCACTGTCTACGTACCGTCAAGCAACCGTAGCCAGATCAAGATTGAGAAGCTCACGGGCGAGTCACTTGCTGCTGTCAGCTACCCTCTGTCGCCAACATCCGCGAGAGAACGAGAACGCCACATCAACTCAACAGCCCAGAACCTGGAAGGACCCTCTGATCCAAACAGGTCACCAGTCTTCCAAGCTCGTGCCCGGAAACTCAAGCAGTTCTACGGTGCTCGACCTCCCAGCGAACTCATTACATCCGACCTGACCTCCTACTTCCCTGACGTCGGAAAAGATGAGATTGACAAGACCGTCCGCATGTCAATACGTCGTTCTCACCGCCTCAGCCGCGCGGCCTCGCGTCTGTCGATGGCATCCAACTTCAGCGTTGCTTCCAGCTTGAAGGATGCGCCGCCACTACCATCCATCGCCGACACTTGGCTCCAAGGTGGTGCTCAAGCCCGCCCACTTCGCCCACTTTCGGTCATGCGACTTGGCCTGCCCAACCAATCCGGGTACCGCGACTCAATGGCGTCTTCCGTTCTGGAACCTCTCGACGAGGAGTCACCTCTCGAACCCAATCGAAAGTCGTATGTGTCGTTTGGTGGTGAATCGGATACCCTTGCCATCACAGATCCGGAGGGCAACACCACTCTACAATCCTACTTCGACGACGGCGGTAGCAGTCTTACGGGAAGCAGTAGCAGCAACACCGAGAACGGCGACTCACTCAACAAACGCCTTTCTGAGGCCATTGCTGAGGATGGCGAAGAGTCAGACGATGAACTGGCCGAGTATCTCGAACAGGACTCCTGGGACAACGTCAAGTACATGAAGGGAGCTCTCATCGGACAAGGTTCTTTCGGCAGCGTTTACCTTGCCCTACATGCCGTCACCGGTGAGCTCATGGCCGTCAAGCAGGTCGAGCTTCCTTCTGTAGCTGGCGCCTCCCAGATGGACAGCAGGAAGACGAACATGGTCGAAGCCCTGAAACACGAGATCGGCCTGCTACGAGAACTCAAGCACAAGAACATCGTGCAGTACCTTGGCTCCAACTCAGATGAGAGCCATCTCAACATTTTCCTCGAGTACGTCCCAGGTGGTTCCGTGGCAACCATGCTGGTGAACTACGGCCCGCTCGGCGAATCCCTCATCCAGAACTTCGTACGCCAGATTCTGACCGGTCTTTCGTACCTTCACTCCCGGGATATCATCCATCGCGACATCAAGGGTGCAAACATCCTCGTCGACAACAAGGGCTCAGTCAAGATTTCCGACTTCGGTATCTCCAAGCGCATTGAAGCCTCTACACTGGGTGGCGGCAAGAAGGGAGCTCAGCGCGTCTCCCTTCAAGGTTCAGTCTTCTGGATGGCACCAGAAGTCGTTCGACAGACAGCCTACACCCGCAAAGCCGATATCTGGTCGCTCGGCTGCCTGGTTGTCGAGATGTTTACGGGAAGCCACCCGCATCCCAACTGCACTCAACTGCAAGCCATCTTTAAGATCGGTGGTAGTGGTGATGCCAGCCCTACCATTCCAGACAACGCTGGCGACGATGCTCGAACCTTCCTGGCCCAGACCTTCCTCATCGATCACGAGAAGCGTCCCAGTGCTGACGAGCTTCTCGCCAGCCATTTCATAACTAATCAGGGTGCATAAATTTTCACATACGGCGCACAACATATTTCTAGCATGGAACGGAGAAGCATCATTGGGAATTTCGTGGTATATCCTGATCATCTAGTGGTCCCCAAGGTGTTCTGTTCTTTGGGAGTTTTTCCCTTTCTAACGCCCTTAACGCTTACATGCGCGAATGATTCTGTACTATACCACTTTTCGATACGCTTTTCTAGTAGAAGGAAAGGGAGGTGCTACGCAGCATGTGCATACGCTGCTGAACTTTTAATGGGTGCTTTGGATGGGGCGCAGACAGTTTGTACTATAGCTGTCTATTAGATCTATCTCGACCCCTTCACAACCACTATCTTCGTATACATATCAAACATTGCTCTAATCCAACGAGTTTGTCTCGACCCCACGTGCTGGCCACGATGACGCGCCTTCCACAATAAAGTTCAGTGGCTGAAGCTGCCACAGTCGCATCACCACAAGCTCTACCCCACTGTCCCAGACTCCATACACACAGGAACGCAAAATCCAAACCACCGACTGTATCACCAGGGAAAAAAACTTGTAGATCGACTGCACGCCTTGCTACATCCCAATCTCCGACCTAATCCACTTCTTATACGCCTAGCTTACTCATATGTGCAGCAACGGAACTTCGGACGTCTTGGCTCAACCCCACATCCGCGCTCACATGCATCCCGCCTGACGTAGTCTAGTCTGGTCCCTCGTTCCCAATCCACTTACAGCTTTGCCCCCCAATCGCGGGTGCGGGGTAAACTTCAGCTACGTGTGGTCACGCGTTTTAGCTGTTTGCCTCGGCTTCGGTTCTTTAGGTAGTTACCTTGGGTTTGTGGATACTTCGTGCTGACGCGTGTGTTTATCGTGAGGTACAGCTGGGCATGGATGGCGGTCCGAATGTGACAAGAGTGTTATTGGTCCGGTAGATGGGTGAGGTAGTTTGTGGGTGAGGGTTGTGCACTTTTTCCGTGTGCGTAACTTCGTATCTATTGTGTTGGAAGGCCGTAGACGGGGCTGGTGTGGGGTAGAGATAGGGTCGTTAGCTAAGGGAGAGTCAGGGTAGCTCGACGCGTTATGGAGCTTGGGTGTTGGTGCGGGGAAAGGTATATGTACTGGAGGTGTCTCTCGGGTTGCTTCAATCCGTCTTCAATTAACCCATCCTGACTGCTCCTTCCCCCTCCCCGAAGCGTCTCGTCCGAACTGTCTCTACATCGAGTGGTACACTACATCAACCGTCCAACATGTCCCTTCCCTCCAAATATAAAGCCGCCATCTACGATGCGCCCGGCTCTATCTCCACCAAAATCGTCGATCTCGACATGCCCGAGCCCGGCGCCGGCGAAGTCTTGATCAATCTCACACACTCTGGTGTCTGCCATTCCGATCTAGGCGTTATGATGAACTCGTGGAAAACATTACCTTTCCCCACACAAGCCGGACAAGTCGGTGGTCACGAGGGCGTAGGCAAGATCGTAAAGATGGGACCTGGAACCGAGAACTCGGCAGTCAAGATGGGAGATCGTGTGGGTATCAAATGGATGGCGGGTATTTGTGAGACATGCGAGGCTTGTAGGGCGGGTATGGACGCTTCGTGTTTCTCAGGAGTAAGTTTTACCTATACCTATGACCAACTTCTGGACTGCGATCACTAATTCGGGTAAACAGAAAGTATCAGGATACTACACACCAGGAACCTTCCAACAATACGTCCTCTCCCCCGCAAACTACGTCACGCCCATCCCCGCCGACCTCGACTCCGCAGCCGCGGCACCGCTTCTCTGCGCAGGTGTGACCGTCTACTCCGCGCTCCGCAAGACAAACGCCGAGTCAGGTGCTTGGGTCGTGATATCGGGTGCCGGAGGCGGACTAGGTCACTTGGCCGTGCAATTCAGTGCCAGGGGAATTGGCCACCGCGTTATCGGCATCGACCACTCTTCCAAGAAAGACATCGTCATGGAAAGCGGCGCTGAGCACTTCATCCCCGTAGACGGAACAGAGAACATGGTCGAAGCCGTTCAAGCACTGACAAACGGTCTCGGCGCTCACTCCGTCGTCGTCTGCACAGCGAACAACATGGCCTACGCTCAATCCGTAGACCTACTTCGTTTCGGCGGCCGCGTGGTATGTGTCGGTATCCCTGAGGGCGACGTCGTACCCATCAAGAGCGCGAACCCTGGTGTCATGGTCGCCAAGGCGCTACAGATCGTTGGTTCTGCGGTAGGATCAAGGAAGGAGGCGATCGAGACGATGGAGTTTGCCGCGAGGGGTATTGTTAAGACGCATTTCAGGACGGAGAAGATGGATAAACTTTCGGATATCTTCAATGAGATGCATGCGGGCAAGCTGCAGGGTAGGGTTGTGTTGGATATGACGGCATAGGGTGGACGATTGGATTGGTGTTAAGAGAGTCAGAAGTATACGGCTGTATTATTGAATGTCATCAGCTTCACGACCTGCTCAGTTGCTCGTGTTCGGTATTAGCCTTTGTAACACCTGTATCTAGCGTATAGCGTCTAACAGTTGAACTTAGTAGCCTCGAGTTATGGCTATCTATTCATCTTCCTATCATAGTGGGAACTGAGAAGCAGCAGTGTACTACGCGCGTAGAGATCCTCGGTCTATCCTGCGTGCACGGTCTGCAGCCACATTCGTTGAAATATTTGAATATAAAGCCGTGCTGCCAGCTTATGTTCCCTTCAGAGACCAGAATCGGTGCGTTGAACAGATCGTGGAGCGAGGAGGCTGATGTTGGGCCGTCGCAGAACGCGTGTTGTTGTTGTTTGGACTAGCTGAAGTCAGCGTCCTGTCAAAAGGCATGGCCAGAGCAGTACGTCATACCTGCACCGCGTCTCGTCTGTCCCTCTCAAGATATCCCGTCCAGTCTTCTCCACCTCCGGTGCCAAACCTTTCAAACCGTACCTTGACGTCCGCACCAACGTCCCTCGCACGACGGTATAACGATCCTACCATCTCATACAGATTACGTTTGATACTCGGTTCATGCAGTATCACTCCAGGACCTGCTGTGGGACCGAGGAAGCAAAGCTCCAGCACAACAGTATGATTTGTGTAATTGATTGTCTCCAACCCTTCTAGGCGATCAACATACATTGCGCATGTTGACGGTACGTCGAGTGTGACATGTTCTGAATAGCATGCTATTTGAGCTCTGCTCACACCCGTTGCAACGTCTTCGGCGTCGTGAAAGGCGGCGTTGCTGCGAAGGTACACACGTAGATGGCGGACAAGATCGCGGAAGTATACCCCCGGCCGGATCTCGGTATTCAGTAGCTGTCTAACGTTTAGACTGGTTCTGGAGCCGCGGAAGTAGAAGGGCGTTTTGCGAAGCACTAGGTTTTGGAATTCAGTACTGACTGATGAACCCATCACAGCGACGGAGAAACAGTAGTCATGCATGAACGGATTGAGCTCTTCGCGCATGGCTTTCGCATGCTCGCTCGCTCCAGCGCTGCCAGATTGCAATCTTCCGTTCACGATCTCGACCTTGGGATGTTCCAGTCTTGGGATGACTATCGGCTTGCTGATGTCGAAGACATGCTCGTAGATATTCTCACGGACCTCCAACGGAAGCGAAGCGTGAATCTCGCTGAGGAGCGGCGCGAGAAGCTGACCGGAGCATTGTTCAAGGTCGGCCTTGATTTGACTTGGCGGTATCAGCGACCACTTCTACGACCATAGACAAACCAGACTCACTTCGTGAAGACGCCTTTCCAATCTTGCAGCACGTTGAGCTTTTCCGATCTGGTGATGCGGGGGACCTTGATTTCATCGGCGATCCTGAGAGGTCAGTGGTAAGCCTTTGAGACAGGCTAAGGCCCATACCGCTCTTGAATTTGCTTGAGCAATCTGCTCTTCCTGAGTCTAGTCAGTAGCGTGTCTAGAAATTGCAATACGGTTGATATACTTCAGGATCGTGCGCTGCCATTGCTCTGTGCACTGGTTGGCATCCATATCTCGCTAAATGTCAATCTCCCGCCGTTGGATCTAGAGCGATCGCTAGCGTTAGTAGCGCTGGGTTGCGAAAGAAGAGATGAAGATTCAAACTTTTTCGACATCACGATGATTCTGGATCAGATACGCGGTCTCCGTTACTAGCGCAGAATACAAAGAGGGGTTCCAGCTCTGTGCGCAACGTTACACAGCGTGTAGCGTGTTGTCTTCCTCCAATAGACTATGTGTTGACTACCCGAAATGTGGGAGCGGAATACAAGACTCTCTATGCCAACCTTTGAATGTTAGCAGCACACTATCAAAGCCAGCAAGTACGACCTCCAAGCAACGGGTCGCTACGACATATAAGCGGTTGGATTGATGCCCTCTTATCTCCTTACGCGTTACAAGGCCAAGCTGACAGAAGATCTGAGAAAGGTTCCGATGATACGAGCCGAAACCACCGTCACGGATGTGACCGGCAATCAAACGATACGCAACAGGGTCGCAATCACGGACCCTCGATCATGTGCGGACTAAGAGTTGATCGGGGCACTAGATGTGCGATGTCGAAGTCCGTGTGGGCCGTAGTGTGTATCACCGCGCCGGACGCCCACTCCTATTCGCATGCGCACGCCTTACACGAAGGGTCTGGAGGGGCCAGGTTTCTCCAGAGGTCTCTGATCATTCCGCTTCGGTTGAAGATATTCTGTGTAGCCAACAGCCTCACCCTGGTAAGGCCAGCACAGCTCCTTGCAGTGCGACGTCAGCGACGTCATGGTCACAGCTAGAGCGAACCTTGGATCACCGCTAGTCGTCCAAGGACCAGGCAGATGCAAATGATCAGTGATGTTGGGGTCGAGAAGCTGAAACGAGATGGAGTTCGATGCACGGTGCCGTGGGGTTTCGACATACATGAGGTGTGCCTGGTGCATCAATAAGGCGCAGTGCTTATAGAGTAGTTCGAGGCGGACGTCGTGTCCGGCACAATGGCCCCAAATTAGTGCGGCACCAGGGCTGAGCAAGCAGTCGCGCCGCAAATAGCACGGCCCCAGCGCCAAAACACAACAACCTTGGATGTCTCTGATTGCTCCCCACTGCTATGCCTCACTACAACGCATCCTTGTGATAACGTTTATTGCGCAATGAGGAGCCGTACATGTCCCGGGGGCGTGCGTCATTGGGTTTTCGCCCGCCTGCCCACCCATGCTGTCCTGTCCGCCCACTCGGAGTTGGCCTCCATCTCATCTCACTCAGCTCAGCTTTCGCCGGGCGCTGCATGCATCTTCTGTGCGGAACGCCACGGCCGGGCTATTCATGGAGCTCGGTGGTGTCTAGCAGTGCCTTAGGTTATGATTATCTTGGCTTCGGACGATATACAGTCCATGCCCTGCCACCATGCCCGAGTCACGGCTTCGATGGGAGATCCCTTATCCAACTACTCACCCTCAGCAACTCCAGACTGCTACTCGTACATTTTCTGCAGCCTAATACGTCACTAATCGACCCGCTCAAGCCCACCTGCCCATGTTGACACATTGCTCTGAGTGATCAGCCTCACCTGGCGCACTGAAGAGAAGGATGTCAGCTTTACTTAAGCTAAAGCCGAAAAAGTCAGCTACCATCTTACGCGCAGTTCCAGAAAGTACTAAAGACGATGCGGCTCTCCCCTCTCACAATCACAACACAGCGACCGAGGGTCGCAGGGACGGCAATGACGGCAACCGACCGTCGTCAGCAGGTTTGACCGTACCGTTGCCTTCAAGATCAACATCTATCTGGGGTAGGAGACGGAAGAGCATTGCTTCGGCAGTGGTCGCAACGGGAGCCAGTAATACTGCAGGTGGACTGTCGGCATCAAGCCACGCATCGCTTGTAGGCACCATCGGCACATATAAGCACGGCAAAATCCAATGGCGAAAGAAGAATCGCAAAACGGTCACTAAGCACAAGAAGAACATTCCGAGCGGGGCCAGACATCCGGCTGCGAAGCCTAAGATACAAGTGGTAATCCCTTGTGGAAAGCCACTGCCCGCTCTTCCATTCCTCGAAACGGGCCCTACCGATCTCGAAAGCCACCACGAGGTCTCGCCTCCGTCAGCAAGCCACCATCGCATACGAGATTCCATTGTATCTCCACTTGCGCATCCGCAAACACAGCACACAATCCGCCAAACCGCTCCAGTGAATACGCGATACACACCGAACCAATTCAAGAATAGCTTCGAGTCTAACAGTTCGTGTAACGAGTTGCAAGATAGCGATGCTTCATCACTGCACAGCAACCACTCTTCAGAGACTAGCGTGGAGGTCGATAAATCTCCGACACAAGGAAGCACCTGCCAACCTTCAGCGCATCTTCCGAGTGGCCAGACCCTGGCGCCTAGAGGTACTCTACATGCTCGCTCTGAGCTCACCCTATCTTTCAACGGGAGCCAATCCCATGCACCGCCGTCGATAGCGCCCCGAGAATACATCCACCCGTCCTCTAGCGATGAGAATCTCCCCTTCCAACCAACTTGTGCTCTCCATGTAGCTCAGAGCAAGCCACGATTGAACCGAAGGTCCTCAAAGCGGAGCGGTCCGCGGCAGAACTTAGCCGCGGATGCAAGTATGGGCATGATCAACGAGGCGAAACCCTCAGGAACTGAAGCGTTTCCAATCCCTCCACGTGCGTCCAGCCCTACGTTGAGCGAGGCTGAGTTCGACCTGCACGCTCAACTGGCTTCTTCGTTTGGCAGCAACAGCGATCCTCGCATGCTTGCCCAGGATGGGACGCCCCTTGCAGAACGCAACCCTTCCTGGAGGGGCATGCGTCAGGCGTCAGCTGGAGACGGGAAGCTTATTGATACTACAGGCCAGCCCCGAAGAGATTTCGCTAATGCTGTACTGCCTGATAATCCTCCTCCGGCTGTCCCGCGTAAATCCAGCAGGCGGCGATTGGCAGCCAGGACGACTGTTGAAGTCAACCGTCTACCGCGAGACCATATCGCTTCACAGCTGAAGCGAAAGTCCTTTCGCACGAGCAGAACATTGACACTTATGATTCCGCAATACAAGCGTTCCAGTGTGGACCTGGTGTTTTCTCCGCGAGCTGTTTCTACCAAAACCACCAAACCACCCATTACGTCTGACGGAGCTGAGAAAGTCATACTCAACATCTTCCAACATCTAGATCACTTCAACGATCTTTTCGCCGCAGCCTCCATCAACCGAGGCTTCTATCGTGTGTTCAAACGTCATGAACTCGATCTCATCAAATCTACCTTGCAAAAGATGTCACCACCAGCCTGGGAGTTTAGAGAGATCGCCTTTCCTGGACACGAACTTCTACTTGCAGCAGACCTTGAGACGACACGACCTGCAGAGGAGTACACCCCAACTTCATATCTCAAGCTCCAGAAGCGAGACATCCAAGTCATCCGCACAATCAAGTTGGAGATTATGGAGAAATGCCAGTCCTTCGTACGACCAGAGATATCAGCTGCGCTCATGAGCGCCTGCCCAGCCGAGTCTGCTAGGGTTGACGATGCGTTATGGCGCATATGGACATTCTGTAAGCTATTTGGCTCGGGAAAAGGACGTGAGGAGGACATTGTTGCGCAGATGGACTGGCTCAATGGTGGTATGCTTGTCCATCAGGCGACCTGCACCTTCAGCATGATGAGCACAGACCTCATGAGCGACACATTGGTCGGTGCACCTGAGTGCTTCGGGCAAGGGAACGAAGGCGGCCTTACCGCCGAGCAACTCTTCGACATGATGGAACTATGGACCTGTCTTTCCGTCCTGCTACAAAACTTCGAAGGGCGCACAGTTCAAGCCCGACAAGCCGGTATTTACGACAACACCGACATTCGTGGTGGCGATATTGATGGCGAGGAGATGATGCTTGGTTCGTCTATCCGCTGCATAATCATGGATCTTGCTAACCAGACCAGACGAATGGATCTACCACCTCCTCACCTTTGGCCTTGATACTGTTCTCAAGCTCACTGGCCCGTTCCACCCCTCGGATCCCAAAGCCTTTGTTATTGCGGCGGAGAACGGATGGGTCAACTGGAAGCCTCCTGTGCTTGACGGTACACGACAATACTTCCTCAAAGAAGCAGCCCGACGCGTCTACGAAGACAAGATTGCGCATACCTATGCTAAGATCTCAATCCGCGACGTGCAGCGCCAACAGTCCAAGATACGTATTCAGAAACACATTGACGAACTCAAGGATCGCAAAAGGAATGGTGAGCAACGACCAATGGTTCTCAGGGAAAGACCCATGTCAGACTGGGATACTGTGATTCGAAACTTGACACGCCCTCCTCTACCACCACAAGGCCCGGGAAAGGACATCATCACTCATGTTCCGGCACTGAGATCATCTTCTGTGGAAGACATACCGACATCTGTGCCTCTTCCTAGATCGAGGTCGACATCCAGCAGAACAGCTTCACCACCTCGGCGAACTGTGGCTCAGCCTTTGCTCCCATCACCGCCCCCCTCCACAGTTCCTAGTAACCATGATCGACATAGCATTTCGTCAATCCTAGCACCTATCAGGGAACGGACACCCTCACCGCCACGTCGAACGGTTGCTCAGCCCCTTCTACCATCTCCCTCGGTCACAACAGTCCAGAGCAACCGCGATCTATACACCATGGGCAGTGTATCAAGCGCAAGCTCTCCACCCCGCCGCATGTTTGCTCAGCCGCTTCTGCCGACACCCTCCGCTTCCACGGCGACAAACAGTCGTGATTGGCATCGCTACAGCACAGGCACATCTATGCCTTCTATCCTCGAGGATCCATTACATCATCCTCTGTCCGAACCACCCGGACCGCCTCACCCCGCATTCCGCCCTCATCCCATGTCAATGCCTTACCGTGGCCGCCACATGCGTCAGAGTAGTAGTCAGTCATCTGCCGGAAGCTCCACTCCCAGAGGTGGAGCCCTCCAACAGCACGAACAACAACACCACATCTATGGATCTCGGAGTCATGAGAACACGGCCGATAAGGCCATATGGCGGATTGTCGAGATGGGTTTCACAGCCGAGCAGGCCCGAGAGGCGCTAAGGTTAACCGATCTGGGAGACGGACTGAGGGTCGACCGAGCGGTGGAATTGCTGCTTAGTCGGCAGACATGAATGAGCTGGTGTTTGCAGAGTCGGAAGGATTCCGCTCGAGACAGATAATTTCCTTTTGTGGTAGGCGTTGCGATTTTGTCCTTCATTACAGCGCGTGCAAGATACCCCATCCTTTCGTTTGTGCATCTTATCATCAACAGTCTACAGTCGTTCAATGTATATTTTTACCTTTGCAGAACGGTCGGCGACCACAACCCACTTTGACATTATCATCTAACGGAATTCAACGGTTGAAGCCGCTGATGAGTCGTGGAAATTACCCGAAAGGGGACGGGACGGTATCCAATTTTAATTTCGCGGCCCCTCGACCCCAACGCTAATTCGGGATGACCCTAGCTCGATGGTTTGCCTTATTCGCATCACGATCAGGCAGTGCAAGGAAAGAAGTGGGAGCTTCGTTCGTGTATTTCCGCTCAGATCGCTCCTCAGACTCTTCTCTTCCCGCTTCTCTCCACTCGACTTTCCATCTGTCGACAGCGACAAAAAACAAACCTTTGCGGAGTACAGTCCGCATACTCGATGCCCGGCATGTTGTCGCAAGCGTCGATATCTGCAACATTTCTCCTCCTCCTAGCGTCGCTCCCGTCCAGCACGCCCACCTGCTTCCTCCCCAACGGCACCGCGCACCAGGACGAAGGAACTTCGCGCTGTTCCTCCATATCTGGCTCCCCACTCTACAACACATGCTGCCAGACGCAATGGCCGAATCCACCGGGCGGCGATGTTATAAACGGCCCTACGGCGGATGAATGCATGCCGAACGGGCTGTGTCAGAACAGAGGCTTCAGCAGCGCACCTGGCCAAGAGGCAGAGCCGTGGACGCACTTCTACCGGGTTTACTGTGCGAATGCGAACTGGGAGGGTTGCTTGGATGTCTGCAGAGACGGGGTATGTTGCTTTTCCCCGTTTGTGGCTATGCATGTGGCTGGGGGCCTGGTTTCAGAGAGCTAACAAGCAACTAGAATCTAGCAGACTCCGTCTCACAATTGACGCCTTGCGACGGAACAGCCAAATCAGAGTACTGGTGTTGTGGAGACAGCAACGCGTGCTGTTCGGCCTCCGCTGATGCGCTGGTCTCGAAGAGAATCAGGATTCCAAAGGAACTTGGAGGCGAGCAAGTAGCTTCTGCGAGCGCGGGGCTGGCATCGCCAAGTGCTGGACCGGCTTCCTCACGTGTGGGCACAGCTTCTTCGATCGGGAGCACGATAACTAGGAGTGCAGCACCGGTAGCGACGGGGACGGGAACGGGCGAGGAACCCACGCCATCATCCGACGCAGCGAACCTACCTGGCCAGAACGAAGAGCAGAAGGATGAGGGCAAATTGAACTCGGGACGCAACATCGGTATCGGCGTAGGTGTCGGCGCTGGAGTTGGAGCTTTGCTGGGTATTGCAGTGACCATTCTACTGCGAAGACGGAAGTCGAAGCAGAAGACTCGGGAGATTGAAAACGAGATTGCAGAAGAGAGGCAGAAGCAGGATCTAGCCAAAGGGTACCACCACGTGGCTGAGATGCCGCATCAGGAACCGGTACGTCGAAATGCTAACGCGGCAAGGGATGCTGAGCTAACGTTGAGATAGGTGTACGAGCTTCACGATGGGAACAGAGCTGATCTGGAGTTGGATGGGGCGAACAAGGCGCAGTCGTCCATGTATCGTTAATCCGCTGTTGGGCTCTTTCGAGTGGATGCTCTAGCTGATTACGATATGGCCGTCGGGCCAGGTACATACCATTGGGGAAGTAATGAATGCTCATACAGACCACATCATCTTCCCGTTGTACCTCTCTTGGTGCTCTCTCTCTTCTCCAACGTTGCTTTTACTCCGTCTTCGATTTCCTAGACTGTTGGTCTTCCTTGACAGCTTCCATGAATGCGCTGGCTGCGATACCGCAAGTTCCTGTCACGCTTGAGCCTACAGCAATCGCCTGGACGATTGCAAGCCCATACCGTCCCATTGCGGCACTCGTAAGGATAGCGAAAGCGCTACCCGCAGCGATGGGAGCGACGCCTGCTTGGAATGCAGAAGCCATGGAGCCTAGCTCATGTGTTAAAAGTCGGTCCGGAGATATGATCAGTGATCGATACGTACCAGCAGCGATGCCGATGGGTGTGAAGCCCACAAGGCCTAGCATGGCCGGTGTGACAGCAAGAGCGATGGGGCCCGAAGCGATACATGCCAGCAACGTGGTGAACAATTTGGGATTGGCGAGAATCCAAGCTTTGAGCCTCTCGCTGAACCCCGTGAGATCTTCTTTGGTGAACTCAATGTTCGGGATAGCCGCCTGACCAATGTCATGGAGGATGTCGCCGCTGCTTAGCTTCTCCCAGACGTCGCCGGCTGTAGTACCAAGATGGTTCGCCATGTCTTCCCCGAACTTTGTGATGAACTTCCAGTCATACTCTTCGTTCATGTATCCATCTGGGACCTGCGGCAGGGCGTGTAGACCTTGTTTGCCGCTGTGGTAGGCTGCCCGGGCAAGTATCATAGCATTCTTCGAAGCACTGCTGATAACGGGAGCGGCATGTTCGCCCGCTTCCTTACTGAGCCTGCCCAGATGAGTTCTCGCGTCTGCGGCGGCTGGACCAGCACGTTTTGCTACTTCTTGACCGAAAGCGCTACCGTGTGTCCATGCCTTGTCTGCAGCAGATGCTACATGTCGCGCCGCCTCTGGTCCGTAGGTGTCGGCGAGTCTTCGCGCGTCTTCAAGCAATCTCATCTTGTCGGAGATTGTGATTTGGCTTGTGTGTGTAGTGTCGCGCACAGTGTTCTCGGTGTCGCTACGTGATAGCAAACCATTATCTACACTAGCGCGGGATAGGTGAATGCGGAGGTGCTGCTGTGTAACACCACGACATGCGGGGTCCACGTATGAACGCCATTGCTGATGATGTTGCAGTCTCAATAGCTTGTACCAGCCGCAGAGGCCAGAGGTTGCAGTGACTCAATACTGTTTATCGAGGATTGTTTGCACAACATTAATGAACCTTGGAAGTAGTCACAGAACGACAATGCACTACTGGCATAAAAGAAGAACCAAGAACGATACCTTGCACCCTACGTATCCACAAGGCTAAGTCGTACGACAATTCTTGTGAGTATATGGTCCATTCAATCTCCCATTGGCCAAGTTGGACATCGATCATTATGAAACATTGGGGTGAATCGTGCCCGATGAGGCATGAACGATGTCTAGTAAATGTTGTTGGAGGTTCGCGACTGTGGCTCTGTCTTGTTGGTGCAACGACGAAAGCCAACTCAAGGCCAGAGAGCTCTTTCGGACCACTGCTGCCGTAGATATAGAGCACCGTCGTATACAACATGGAATGCAGTTGCTCGTGGAGGCGATAAGATTGGAGACGCGGAAATGACCGACCCGGGTCCACGTTCTAGAAGCTTGGCACGGGCCCGTTGAACAGGACTTGGAACCTGGAGGCGAGCGGACCGATATAGCGTCATAGACAACGGCCTTTAGACGACGGCGTGGACAGTACAAACGGGTTGCGAGTGTTTGATTGATGTAGGCGCGTCGTGTAGGCGCAGTGGCGCGCTGCTAACAGGAATGTGAGTGCCTGGCGTGAGAGGTGCAGGTGATGCAGGGCCACTTAAGCGGGGCGATAGGTTGGACGTCATCCGCGGATTCGTCTGATCGACCAGGCTGATGTGCGGGACAGGGACCGGCAGCGACCTCGCACCAACCATCGAGACGTGCGCGCCTGTCAGTGCAGGGATGGCTGCCATGTTTGACGTGCATGTGTGCAGCCTGTGTCGCGCCCAGCCTGCTGAGCTTTGTTGACGTCCCCTTATCCCCTTATAATGTCCGCCCAAGGTATGCCTCGCCTGCCTGCTGCAGGCCGCCACGATGCTGCGACGACTGCACCACGACATGGTTGACGATAATGCCGGAAAGCTGCTGCGGAAGGACAGCAAGAGGCAGCGCGTCCTCAAGTTCTTCAGGGCTTTCAAGCAGAAGCAAACACAGCGCCAGGGTGAAGTCGCTGTACCTGTATGTCACCTGCTCCTTCTCTGTGGTGTTATCGCCACGATACTCGCATCATGATCAAGAAGCTGATAGCAAACTTCGCGACAAAGGCACCGCCCAAGCACGATAACACTGCCCCGCAATCAGCCCCTCCACAAACACTCGATGTGATACCCCAAGAGGAACCGAGTGCCGCAGTCGATCATGAGAGCATGTCGCCCGCAGAAGAACTAGAGCCAGATCGCGTACCTACACCACCGCAAGAAACCAAGGAGGACAAGTTGGAGACTCTTGGTGAGGGCCAGCTTCGTACGCTCTTCTCTGGGGCCCCACAGTTTGGCATCGCCAGGACAGGCAGTCGCTACACACCAACCGTCACTCATCCTTGGAACGCCGATGCTGTGCTCAAGGAAGCAGCCGACACAGTTCCACTTGCCGAACCCGCCTTCTCAGCCGCGACCCTACACGAACATCCATCCAAGACCTCACAGCTACCCGAGACTTCGAAACAGTACAATGGTTATCAGGTGGACGTGGTGGAGATGCCAAGCATGGTCGGTGCCCAGGGTATCGAGCCAGGGACTGTTGGCTTCTCGCATTTCCTCGAGCTACCAAGGTCTGACACACTGGCCAGTGAGCTGGACCAGTCTCAGTCAAGTCAAGACTCCGCTGAGTCGGCCAGGAACAAGGAAGTCATGCAGGCAACTCCTGAGCGACTGGGTATCCGGCCGGTGGACTTGAACTTGATATACGACCGCTTGGCTGAGTTCCAGGACATGTACGAGGCATTTCAAGACAGCCCCGAGCCCATGACAATCCTCAACAACCAAAGCTCTGGAGATCTATACGCGAATTTATTCACCAAGTTCCTTACCCCTCCGGGCTACGACGACTCTACCGCCGACCCTACAGGCTTGCAGACACAAATCGTGGCCCTACTCAGGGTATTGGGACTGAAGGGTGTCTGGTACGACTTCAGCCTTGTCGAATGGAGGATAAGGCTGGGCCAGATACTGTGGAGTGAACCCGAGCCAGCCTCCGAGCACGAGCACCAAACTCTATGGACAGAGCGGGAGATGCTATTACTACAGATCACCTTGGCCTGTGAGTTGCTGCTTCGATTGGATGCCTTCACGAATGCAGATGCGACCGACGCTGAGATCCGACTTCGGATTGACGCAAAGGATATCGAAGGATTTCTCAAGATCAAATCGAGAAAGGTTGACTGGGATTTGGTGCTCGCACGGAGATTTCTTGACAACGTCGTCATTATGCGAGGCAACGATGCGCCAGTCTCACCCAAACCCAAACTACGTGGACTACTGTCATTGCTAAGCCAAGGCGCTCACGCCCAGATACCGCAGTCGGACCTCATCATACTTCCACAGCATCAATCCAGACAGCTCTCTGGGCTTCTTCACTTTGCGAAGACGCTGCAATGGCCTAGCCTGGACGTGGTCTCGGCGGATTTAGCTCGGAAGCTTGGAGAGCAACACAAGATCGAGGAACCCACACCAGCGTCACCCAGCGGAAGGTTGCTCGACATGGCCACCCCTTCCGGCATCAGTGTTTACGGCACGCCTCTGCAAACACCCCTCGCTTCCGGACAACAGCTGGACAGCTACTTCGGTCATATCGGGAAGCCCGCTCTGAATCGCAACAACTCTCGTGCCTTACGCATGCCACTTTCCCCCGTGTCGACCATCTCGGAAAACGATGCCACGTCCAGCTACAATATCGGAGGGTGGCTGAGTCGGTCTTATCTGACTGGTCTTGTGCTCCCCGGAGAAGCCATCTCACACTTCCTCGTGTCGACCTTGCTTGAGAACGACAGTAACGCTATTGCCAACCTGGGAGAATCAGCGAACTTGTACGGCGGATTCACCTTTGGCGACAGAACCTTTTGGAGCAAATCTTCCGTTGTTGGGCGTATTCTGGCGTGTGTCAAAGGCTCTACAGAGTGTATGGGCTGGATCTCATGTCCAAAGCTGCCCGACAGCCCTGCCGACCGTTGGTACTCGATTCACAGCGAACTGCTTCCGTACGAGAACCGGTTACGACCAAGAGACGGTTCTGACACAGTCGCCGAAGAGTCAGCTATCGCGCCAGTCGATTCTCTAGCTTCGTTGAGGTCCGAGGACTTTGTTCTTCCTCAGGATCCTGATTCGTACCTGGCTCCCTCCTTGGTCTTCTCGCAGTGGGAACTGGTTCCAATTAACACAGACCTCATTGACGGGGACAGCTTGACAGGACCGCCAACCGAAAGTGACATTCATGCGCCATCAATGACGTTTGTTACTAGAGGAGATGCAGTGAGCCACGCCATCACGTTGACATACGATGTTCAATTTGTCACTTCTTTCCCTTGCACCACAGCTGCGTCTGCACCTCCCTCGTTCACGCATCGCCCTAAGGTCCTGAGGCGCTCTGGCACCGGAACAATTTCGAGATCCTCTTCAAAACACAGCGTAACTCTTTCACGCCGCAACAGCCACGGGTTTGAGCCGCTCTTATCGCATCCCCCGGATGCTGCAGACATCGCGCCAAAGCGGATGTACGAAGCATCTACCGGACCAGAAGTCGAGACACTTGCGACTAGCAGCAAACCCATGAACGCGCATCCTCTACACCAGTCGTACTCGTACAAGATCGTACCAGTCACCGATGTTCTCGATTCTAACTTCTTACTGCCGTTCGAGCTCCACACGTCCAAATCTACGGAGCGCCTACTTGATCTATCGCGGAGCAACGACAGCGACAAAGCGGAGACAATCAAGAATAACAAGAAGGCTGTGTTGGTACTAGATGCCAGGGCGTCATCTGATCTTCAGTTGCTCGCACGAGCCTGGTGTGCAGAAAAGGGCCTTCATGCGATCGTGAGCCGTGTGGGAAGGACTTGTTTGGGTTGCTCCATTCGCGAGGCCAGAGGTTTAGGCATCCACATTGTGATCAGAGTATAGGCTGCCGCGTGACTACTTGGTCACTTATGCCAGCACTGGAGTTTTTGCCACATTTCTCAAATTGTTACATTGTCCTCCGGGCAGGGAGTTGGGGGTTTAGTTTTGCTACAGGCCATTATTGCGGGCGCGCATACAAGATACCCACATTGTGAATGAATACTACTGTTACTCTCCATTGCCCATAACGATCCGTTGCCACGTCCTTTACTTGTTTGAGAATCGCGTATGACAAAAATAACGTGTACCCACTCTCTACGCGCGTTCGCAATCAGCCACCGCATTCACTCCTAGAGCGCATGTATCGTATTTCGATGACAACGGTGCGATTGCAGAGGCTGTGTTTGCCTACCCTGAGTTCACTTAGCAAGATCGGCGGCGCTCACAGCCACGTGCTGCTAGCCGAGGGGGGCGGGCTGTGTGTCTGTGGGTGGCCTGGCGTGCCTGATCTCACGCGAAGCGCGTTTGAACTTTCGCGGATCGAAAATCAAAAACTTCGAACACCGCTCACCAAGGCTCTTATCACTTTGGAATCTATATCTACGACGTGTCAATTATCACGATCTTACTTTGTTTCTGCTGTCGACAAAATACATCATCATCGACCCTGACTTACAAGCTCACCTGGTCTCTCTTCTTACATCATCCTTCCTTCCTCCTTCGTTCAGCACCGACCCTCTACCACCAAAACTCCTCCAGCAGTCGCCACTCTCTCCCCGCATCCAAGATGAATTACGCCCCTATGAACCCAGAGACAGAGGAGTTCACACCTGCGCACGACGAGCCGAAAGACTGCTGCACACGATGCATCCAGCGGATAGATTGCACGCTGGCAGGCCCCTGGTGCATCGAATCAATTATTGCGTGTTTTGCGAGTATGGGAAGTTGTTTGGGCGATTCTTGTAGTAGTTGTGGAGACTGCTGTGGTGAATGCTGTGCTGGGTGTTGCAAGGCGTTCACCTGACGCGGTAACATGGAAAGAGAGGAGAAAGAGGAAGACCCTGAAGACGTTTGCGGTATTTATTGTTCAACAGGCCCGCTCTTGTTGGGGTATCGACCTGAACTACTGGTGTCGTGAGTGGTTCGTTAGGAGTCTATGGGTCATCGCAGAACCAGAATATGGCGAACCGAAGTCTGGCATCAAGCACATGTAAAAGAGGTGGATAACTGAGCAAAAAGTGGGAGCGTGCCTGGAGAGCTTCGCACGCTGCTTGAACGCGATTACCTTGGATGCATGCCAACACGCCGACACGACAGAAAGCACTCGCCATTGCGACTCCCATAGCGCGAAGCACGTGCGAAATGCCATGCTGATGGTCTTTGACCTTCAAAGTGGCATCTGCTATACCCTTCCACAACAACTTTCCGCTTATCAGCCATCGCCTCTATTGCTACAGCACTATCGCTATCATCTGTTGGCATCGGGTTCAACGGCAACATCATTAAAGGTATGCAAAGCATGACCTAATTCGGGACTGTTCTAATGTGATGCAGCAGTCATATCGTCTCATCCTTACCACCGGCATCCAGTTATTAGAGGCAGCACTTGAAGTCTTCGCGCTTTGCTTTTTCTCCGCAAAAACATCCACAGCAGGTGCACCCACCTTTCCAGACACAGCATACAGACTACGGGTCAATCGACATCCCAATCATGCCTGGGAACGCAGGTCGGCGAGCTCGCCATATGCGCGGCTGCGGTAGATTCTACCTGGACCGTAGGATATGTCCTAATTGTGGAGCGACGGTATACCAGTTCTCCAGACACGCAGTTCAGACTTGTAGGACTTGTAAATACAACTTTATCTGGAACCGTGAGCCAGAAGTCGCACCAGCGAAACCTCCTGCTCCACGTCCTCTCGGTCAGTTTGACTCAACTTTGACGTGCCATATCTGGACTGATTGAGACTAGGCCGCGGACTCGTACGCGTGTTGAGCGATATAGAGGATGGCGATGAATCCGATAATTCAGATGACGAAAGCCTGAGACCGAGAAACAGTATCACGACTGATGAGGGTTCTTTCAAACGTCGCTCGAGTCCGAAGACCGAATCCAGAGACGACAGCGTCGTCAGTCTACTCAAAAACTGGGCACCATACACCTCCAAATCAGGCCGGGCAGACGATACACAACTGCCAGCAACTCCTCCAGTCAGCCTTGACTCGCTCAGCACAGTCCGCAATTCTCTTCTCTCTCCCTTCATCCCACCTCCACGATCCCGCATACACGTTCCAAGCAGATTCCGAAGGTACACCAACCGCGTCCGAAGGGAACCCGTGGCACCTAGTCCGTCCGTGGTGACCGCCGATGCTATCAAGAGAGTACCTCGTATGGTCATGGTCAGACAAGCCTTTTGTCTCAATTTCATGCTCGAGGCACTGGGACGCGATCCACCAAGACATGGAGGATCTCTCAGACACCCGTCTCCTGTGATCGAGCCGCGTGATCCTGACGGTGTGGTTTTGCAACACTGCGCTGATCTTCACCATGCTCTTTTACCGCTCGAGGGGTGGGAGAGAGATGGAGTGGTCGGGGAGATTAGAGCTGCTGAAGAGGGAGATGTTGAACGAGACCTAGAGATGGAACTACTCGGCATCTTCAGCCCCGACGCGCTGTTCGATTTCAGCGATGCCGATGAAGTTGCTCTCCTACAGCCCGAACAGTCCGGTGTCGATGGCAGCAATGAGGATGGGGAGGTTACGCGTTGCGGGGAGGAGAAATCTCTCCGCGATCGCATGCAGGAATTTTCTTGCTACACGTTCATGCGCAATCTGGGTGCTGGGCTGAAGAACAAGGTACGCAAGTGGAAGAGATAAGACAGGATGCAACAGCAGCTCTAGGCTGGACATGTGCGTTTGCGCGCTGGTGTCATTCAGTCTGTGGGAAACACTGTACTCTAGCATGGCGTTAGAAACCGCGGATGTCGACTCTGAGAAAGAGCATGCTCCTGACCCGACATGTCTATCGCTCAGTGGAGAGTCATGGTTAGCATGCAAGACAGACCATAGAACTATAAAAAAAATCTGAACACGCGAACCTCTCGAGTGCTGAAGGATTCTGATCGTTCTTTGTTTGCTATTTAAAGCAAAGGAATCATTGTCATAATAACACGCTGGTGCATATGCTCCAACATGATTCCGCAGTAGATATACATCCAGCTCGTTCAGTCCTCCCATCTGCCCGCACGCAACGCCTAGCTTTCCAGCCGGGGAATCCACTTTCCAACCTCTCAACCCTATCTTCACCCAGTCGTAGTTTACTTCAGAGCCTTCTCAGCTTTCTTCTCCGCCTTCTCAGCAGTGTGCTTAACATCCAGCATTTCGCCCTTAGCCTGACCCTCGGTGTTCTCCAGACTCTTGTTGTACATGTAAATGCGACCGACTTGTGTGGCACCGACGCAGAAAACGAGGAAGTTGACACCAGCCAGTGCGACGTTCTTGGGGCGGATGACGAAGCACCAGCGCGTCCAGATGGCGCCTGTGCACATGAGAGCGAAGTTCTGGGTGAAGGAGAGGGATTCGGCGGGGCGGGAGAAGTCGGAGGCGCCGGCGAGGACCATGCCCCATTTCATTACTGGGGCCCTGCTGGAGTGTTAGCATTTGTGCGATGGCTTGGGTGGGGTGTGCTGGGTTTTGGAGGTGGGTGTTTGCTGCTGCGGATGCGGATGCGCTTCGGAGAGTGCGGGGAGCTGGCAGCGCATTGCGGGTGGGCATGGAGATGGTGTCGAGGCAGCGTACCAGAAGTGGACTGTCTTGGGGCCGATGGGGCTGTTCCAGAACTTCTGGAAGCCAGCGGGCTCAGCGCCCGCCGTGGACGCATGTCGGCGGGCATTTGCGCGTTGGAAGAAGGGTCGGAAGGAGCTGAAAATGCGGGAGCCGGGGCGGAACGACATGATGGCGAGCTGTGTCCTGGACGCTCGAGGTCGGCGATTCGAGTGGGAGCAGGAATTGGGGCGTCGAGAGCGAGGTCGAGGCCTTGGCGAGTGTCGTGTGCGAGAGCCGTCGCGATGTCGGGCTCAAGCATAAGATGATAAATCCGGGACTATCGATGGGGGTGCTCCGACTGCCTTAGGCCCGTTTGGGTAAGGCGTGCGCCTGGCAGCTTGACGAACATTGAATGTCGCTGCCGGCCCAGTGACGACAGTCACCGATTGATACCCCCGCACACCAGTACCGGTCCTTACTATGGCGTCAAAAGCATTCGCAAACGGCCTCAAGGAGCTGAGGTTCCTGTTCTGCCAGACCAGCGAGCACAGCGCCGCGACAAGGTATGCGACAACCGAGTGAAGGAGCGCAACCCAACGCGCACGCCATTGCACCAGAGCGGGATAGGCAGGACAGGCAGGATAGAGCGAACCGCGCTGACCGACTGGATAGGAATTTCCTCATGCGAAGCTACCCCGCCATGAAGAAGGCCAACCCATCCATCCCCATTATGATCCGCGAAGCCAGCAACACCCAGCCCACCGTATATGCCCGATTCGGTGCGTCACACTCACCACGGACATACGAGAGCGATGCTAATAATCTGGGATAGACTTCGGAAAGGAGCGGAAGCTGTCGCTGAAGGGCCTGGACGACAAGGCCATCGAACAACAAGTCACAGAGCTGGTACAGAAGGGCGCATGAATACATACTGGGAAGGAGGACGAGTGAACAAGACAAGAGTCGTAGGTGAAGACGAATAGGCATACGTACAGCTCAAGAGAGCACAGCATAATAGCTCTGTATAGCCCGAATTGACCGTCTTCGAGAGTCCATTTCTCTTTCACCTCGACTTCTAATTCCCCATTCACCCTCATCGTCCCATCTTTTGCGTAGCATATAAACTGTCCAACCGCCTCCCATCTTCCTATTTCCTCAGCCGCCAGAACCTCTTTTGCCGAATACATCCTCTTCACACCTCACAAACATTCTGCAAAACATCACCGAGACTACTACATACACTAACGATGTCTCACCAGACCAACCTCCCAGGCCACCATGACGCCGAAATCGCCGCCGCCGAGGTGGATATCCTCGTCGTGAGCGACGTGAGTACCTCCCGGCCCCTCTATCATTTTCAGATCATTACTGACAAAGTTACTTGTATAGCACCCCGCCCTCGCAACCGGCCGCGCGGCCGAAGAACTCAAGCGCATCGAAGCGCAGTATCGGCACGTTGTCGAGCTGCTCGTCCAAGAAAAGTCGGCTGCGGCCGCCCGGATCGAAGATCTGGAGACCACCAACGCCGCCCTGCTGAAAATCCTCGGCAAGAAAATGGCGGACGAGGTGAACGGCATCTTTGTGCAGACGCACATTGTGCCCGCCAAGAGGGTCGTGCTTCGGCCTGGAGAGGAACTCTGGTCTGGCATCTTCAAACATGTCTGAAGATGGGTTGGGTGGTTTGGTACTATTCTGATTCCCCGTCTTGTTTCCTCTTCCCCTTTCCCGATTTTGTTTTTTAGTGTTTTTTTAGATAGATATTTCCCTTCTGGCATCAAATTCCATCGCGTGGTGTGCCGCATATCATGTCTTCTTGGTGCGTGTACAGTGGTGTCTTCGTGATTTTGTGATTTTGACATTGTGAATGCAACATGTTCTACATGCTTCTATATAAAACTATACCTCAAAGTACCGCATACATCCTCCAGAGTAGCAGCAACCGGCTCAATCCCAGAGCCATTGTAGTCCTCCCAGTACCACTTGTTCGGCGTCTTGAACTGCAGAAATCCCTCGACTCACATCACGCCCACCTGAGAACCTAGCATCATGTCCGCCTCAATGACATGTAAGCCCCAACAAGCCGGCTTCTTCAGCCGGTTTCGTCGCAACGACTCCGTCATGGGCTCACCGACAGGCTCTGCTACGCCTTCCCTCGCGCCCTCTCTCGCATCCTTGAGTCAGGACAACGACAACCTGGCTGCGACCAACACTCGCCTACAGAACCGCAACCAAGAGTTGATGCAGCAGTCTGAACTCAACCAACTGCTTTTCCAGCAAACCTCCGAAGAGCTCACAGCGAAGGAGAGAGAACTTGTGACGCTGAAAGAGAGGTTGAGCTCTAATGCTGAAGCTACGAATGAGACTATTCAGGCTCTTGGAGAGCAGCTCCAGACTCTGACTGAGCAACTGGCGGAATTGCAGGACACCAATACTTCGCATGAGGCTCAACTAGCTGATTCCGAAGAGCAGCAACACCAGCTCTCCTTAGAAGCTGCCCATGTGCAGTCCCCGACCCAAGAAGACGTCGACGACTTGATCTGGGCTAAGCTCCAAGACAAGAACAAGACCATCCACTTCCTGCGTTGTCGCCAGGCCAAGTCTGATAAGCGTATCCAGAAGCTGCAGGAGCGTCTGGAGGTTGAGCAGAGTGTGGGGAGGGATTGGGTTGAGACGATTATGATGGTTAATATGAAGGTTAGGGCGAGGGCGAAGGCGGAGGATGATGCTGATGCTAAGGTGTAGATGTGTAGATGTAGGTGATACGGCGTAACGGTATGGTGTGGTGATTGGCATATAGTAGTCGGACTAGGCGATATTCACACAATGCACTGTACATTTCTCGCAGTGTTTCAGATCTACTCTTCGTCCAAATCTTCACCTGCTAGTTCTTCGTTATTCGTGCTCTTCTCTCTACCTCCCCTCAACGCTAGCAGCTTCGATCAAAGCCCCGCTTGTCCATGCTGCAATGCCCGTAGCACACTTCACAGTAACACCCTCGACGTCAGTCCGCTGCGCCTCCTGTTCACTTCCCAACAAGATGACTCCGAGGTGTCACGTAAGGCGAAAGACGCCACCAATGTATCGCGTAGTCACATGATCCGTCATGTACTGCTGTTGGGTCAATCCTTGTTCCGTGCTGGACGCCACCAATAATGCTTCTCAGGCACATCACATACAAATGCCTGTGTCGCTGTTGAGTCGCTCGAAAACTACGATAGCGTGGTCGACTAGGTTGATGCCTGTTGGTGTCGGTGTTTCGTGGCACACGTAGTGGGCTGTCAGGCGCCTGTCTTTGTTGTGTCATCGCCCGCCTTTGGTCTCCGAGACTCCGAAACAGAATGTACCTGCATATATGGCTAATGCCAAGATGTATGTTGCCGCCGTCTTTGTGCTCATTCGGCTCTTTTGCCGAGTAGGTGCGCAGATGATCTGCATGCTGCAGGGTATTCCGAACGAAGTAAGAATTGACGACGGGTACTGTATCCATAGAAGATTATTTGCCTCGTTTGCCTTGTATGAATGGTCTCAATAACCTGGCCATGACGCGTGTGCCTTAGGTGGCAATGTAACTGGATCGGTTGAGCTGGCTTGCTTGGTTGGGGTGCTAAGACCCTTGTTTGATGTGGGAATGTTTTGTGGCGAGATACAATCGGAGGCCACTGATCTGTGTGTTCAGGGAAAGTGTCTCGAATTGCGATAGCGTCATGCGGTATCTTCAGTCCGCTCTTCCGTCATACCTACTGTCTGGCGCTTGGTCGTCGCGGCAGTCAAGCGAGAATACCGAAAGCATCCAACGTTACATCGGCCGAGCTGTACCTTGTTTGCGCAACGACCCAATACTCGACCCTGGCGGCGCATGCCTGGTCAGCATAATCACGGGATCATGGTAGCTCTGTTGCTCATGTAGACGCCCGCTGAGCATCGGACGGCTGCAGCTTACTAGCTTCCTTGGGTGGAGGACTGACATGGATGACGACGACTTGGAATGCAAGCCACAGACGGGACCTTGCGGTAGGATGTGATAAGTCGCATAATCGACGTACTGAACCAACTCTAGTTGCATTAGATGTGTCTGCAAATTCTATCATCGGTCTTCCAAGCATGGATCATGCGTTCTGTAGCACCTCTGCGCTGTAAGGCGGTTGGCTGCTCTGACAGCAGGCACTACAGTCTGTGGCTGCTATCTGACAGCCCGTGTATTCATGACTATAGTACTGTAGCCTATAACGACGTGCCTTAATTTCGAAAAGTTTATCAACATGCAAGCCACCTCGAGGGGAATACGAGTGTATGTCGTGCGCGCACGTTGATACTGGCCGCCCGGGTGACGCATGTGCGATGGTTTGAGCGCACAAGACCGGTGAACTCGATTGGGCCGTTTTGAAACGAAGTACAGTCGTTGATATCTGAGAGTTGGTGGACTGACTTCTTATCGCCAAAAGGTCGGCTCAGTGTGATGCGAATGAAGGTCCATTGGAGTAGGATCGATATGTATTACGGCAATAAGCTGGAAGCATTGAGTGTCTTAATGCCGTGCTGGAGCGTCAGATATGAGTCCTCCGATTGGGCTTTTTGGTCCGAGATTGAATGCCGCTTGAGCCTGATTTTGGACATTGTTGAGCGATATGGCTAGTTTCGCACCTTGTACCTCGCAACGCCAACTCCAAAAACAGGCATTACGAAGCAAACCCAACCTTGAAATGCGAACATTAAGTTTCCGAAGAGAGAACAACATATCTAAGATCTGTTGGAATGGCTGGTGAATTCAGAAACATGATTGGAGGCCTGGTTGTGGTTCAACCGAGGAGGACCTCCCATTCCCACTCTTTCATGACACTCAACCAATGCAAGCGGCTCTTGACTGTTACTCCCGAATTCTGGGAGTCTGTGGTACCAGACGGTATCGGCATCCCGTACGGTATTTCCCGTGAACCGAAGTCGCGATCGGCGTCGTAATCATCGGGATAGGCGTCGTTCTCGCAAATAATGGATGCGTCTGATGAGAAGCTGTCGCTGCGCAAGTGCTCCATATTCATGGTTGTGCGCTCAAGCGCATGATTGTCGCGTCGATTCCAGACTTCTTTCGTGACTTCCAAACATCGCTCTATGATCCCCAATTTCATTCTGGTAGACATCAGAGACCAGCGATCTTTGACCCATTCCCGATTATCCGGCTCAGTCATCTCACAGCCAGCAGCCATCAGAGGGTAGATGTGCACGATGATCGAGCGTGAGCGTGGATGAACGGTGGCCAAGGCGCACAGTACTTTGTTTGCGAGCACGCCGGGTGGCTGGGAAGGAACCTCAGGTACGGCTTGGTGAAGATAGAGCAGTGTTGCGTATTGATAAGCGATCGCAGTCTTGATAGCATCTTGCGGGCTTGTTGTCTCATCTTCTGGTTCTTCAATGTGAGAAGGCGGGGTCCATTCCTCGAGTTGAGATTTCAATTGCACTGCTTGCGATATGATGATGGGTCCGTTGCTATCGGATCTCCGCACTTTCCTCACCAGATTGGCGACCCGACCAATGATGGGGAAGAGCGTGTGCGCGCAGCCCATCAACGGGTCAAGAGTAGAGTCGGTGTCTCCAGCAGCATATATGCTTTCTCTCACATTGTCGACATCGTATGCGTCGTCTTCATCAGCAGAAGTAAGGCGAGCAAGAACGTCCATGTAAATCCAAGTGTTGCAAAGAAACTTCAGCCGAGCCCATTCTTCGCCTTGCTTTGGCATGAGACGATGGTTCATGAGTGCTTGATTGATCAAGATCTTAGCTCCTTTGATGTGGTTGATGCCGGTACTGATATGCTGGTCCCAAGATTCGGCAAAGGCCAGAACAAGTGTAGTCGATATAGCTGCGTCGACACGCATGTTTTGAAGTCCAGCAGCCAATGCATGTACGGCGCTCCGCATATGATCTATACCCTGTATGCGCAAAGTAGGCATATCTCTTGCCTGATGGAAGGAGGTCATCGATGCGATGGCATGATAGAGTGCGGGACAATCCCTCGTTAGAGGCCAGATGAGAGTCCGCCATGGGTTCTCTGTAGGCCCGTCCTTCAATGACAGTACACCGCACGTGTCCCTATGATAACGCCGTGTGAGTGACTCCGCCGATGTCATAGACAACTGCAACTGGGCCGGGATCTTGAAGTCAGGAGAATTTGAGGAAGAGCCTGATGAGCTTGGTGTCGCGGGCGATGGTAGCCACATCACGCAAGCTGCAGACTCATCGATTCTATCGCGTACAACTTCTTCATCGACATCGTCATCCAATGGCGCTAGCGGCGTCATACCAGAGGGCTGATAGAAAGCCTCATGCTGAGACACAAAGGAAGAGTACTCCTCCGGTGGCACATTTAGATCTGTTCCTGGGAGTAGGAGGTCTACTATTCGGGGAGATTGGCCTGACGAAAGGCTTGAGTCTGTATTCGTATTGTTCCGTGCAGTAGTCGTACTTTCGGCTCCAATAATGCCAAATGGCTCGAAAAGACCTGGCGCATATGACTCCACTGGTGATATTGACTGAGAGATGATGAATGGCGATGTCGTTGGGACAGTGAACAAGTTTCCCATAGGTGCCAAGGGAGGATGTGGAAAGGCTGCTTGTATGGGCGGACCATGCGTGAGAGGGTATGAGTGTTGGTGCGGCGAATAGTATACCCCAGGGTGGGGTGGGTTCCCGAAGGTGCATTGGTACTCTTGGAGACCGTACTGTCCCTGGAATTGCGAAGGCACAGCTGTTGATATTTGGGGGGTCGGATCTAAGCCTGTCAGATGCGGAGCAGTATGGCTGTGCAAAGACTGACCTTGATGTGAATTGACGGGCGCTTTGCTCGCAGTGTTCAACTCGTCATAGTGCTTCCATTTGTAATCTTTGGCGTACCCGCCGCATGTTATTGCACGTCTTTCGCATTGCTTGCACGTAGGCTTGCTTTCGTCACATTTCAAGCGCTTTGCCTTGCAGGAAACGCATCCTATGCAGAGGTCAGTATAGTCCCAGGTAGAAATAAGTCGAGTTACGCTTATCATGTGAGCGATAAGAGTTGACGCAGGGGAAGCATACCATTACGGCTCTTGGACTGCTTCCTCTTGGTGACGCCAGAGGTATCAGAAGCTTTGGTTGCCTTCTTCTTCGCGGAACATGATGCAGATGACACCTGCTTAGCGGGCTTGACGTCGATCGGAGCAGTCTCGGATGATCTCAGCACGGATGAGGATGACGAAACAGTGATAGCCTCAGCCATCTGCCGCGGAAGGTGCGAGCGTTCGGTCGCTGGGCGAACTTGTCGGCGGCCCGAGATATCATATGCAAAACAACAATTGACTAGCTACGCAGAAGCGAGAAGAATCACCGGAGGTTTGGTAGATAAGCAGGAAGGCAGCGGTATCTAAAGTGGAGAAGAAGCTGGGGAGATGCACGGCTAGTCATTAGCGCCTTACCTATCGGGTTCGCGAATCACGCGTGGGGTCCGGTTGCAGCATCTTTCTTCACTCTGCGCAATCGCGTATTTTCTTCTTCAAGGTCTTGTGCTCAGTGATATGCGGCGGTAGCTACTCGAGTCCAGTGTACTGTGCGACGGCTGACAGTTCGTATTAGCCGTTGACTGGGATCGTGGTGCAGGCCCCCTCATCGACGCTATCCGCATCCGGAACCCTTGCAGCCGGCCGTGAACCGCTCCACGAACGGCTCAGCCCTGTTTCGGGAGCGACGCAAAGCCGTGGGAGATCCCGTGGAGCATG